AGCATGCTGATCATCCCGAAGGGGGTGATCAGCATGCTCGATTACACCCCTGTGCCAAATTCCAGCCCCCTAGCTCAAATTTTGCAAAATCGATAAAATCGATAGAAGTAATGGATAATTCCAAAAACTAATATTGTATTCGTAATCTGCATGCTCGATTACCCCCCTGTGCAAACTCCCAGCCCCGCAGGTCAAACTTTACAAAAAATCGATAAAATCGATAAAAGTAATGGACGATCCTGAAAACTAATATTGTGTTCGTAATCAGCATGCTCGATTACCCCCTGTGCAAAATCCCAGCCTCGCATGTCAAGATTTACAAAAAATCGATAAAATCAATAAAAGTAATCGATAATTCTGGAAACTAATATTGTATTCGGAATCTCCATGCTCACTTCCCCCCTGTGCCAACTCCTAGCCCTGTAGGTGAATTCTGCAAAGAAATCGATAAAAATCGGTAAAATCGACATCGATCGATAACGAAAAGTGGACTGTGACACCCGCCGGGGCCCGAAGTGTATGTGTGCCAAGTTTGGTCCGGATACGGCGGAGCCGGGTAAGCCAGCTAGTCACCAATATTAAACAAATTCGAAAAGGTTTTTTACATCTATCAAAGGTTAACTTTTTGTCTTAACATCTCATTTTTTATTAGATCAAAGGGGTACTTCATTGTTACTTGGTGATGACGTGATTCTGAATTCTCAAGAAACAGGAATTGCACATAGTGAGAAAAAACCGCATAAACTCTTTCCAATTCTCTCAAGCACTTCTTGCACACGCAAGTGTAGGTGTTTGGTGGGAAAAATCGTGAAAAGTCCAAATCTACGGCATAATCATGTTTGAACCAACTCAAAAAAGCACGAATCACCATTTGCTTTTTAACCACAATCGCGAAACACAGTCCTTGCGTTATTTTGCTAGGTAACGGTAACTACACAATCATACTAAGAATACACTTATGAATGTTTTATATAAAATTCAACAATATGCAGGTGGTATACACGTACTTAGTAAAGCCGGATTTCGAAATCTGTCCACGGTACCTGTCGCGGCTCGCGATGCAAGCCAGTCCTCGGAACAGGAGGCCGGGAGCGCTGGTTGTTGCGTTACCGGGCGCGATACCGCTTTCGCGTTCGGACCTCTCCCGCTGGGCGCGTTGCCAAGTCATAAAGTATATAAGGGCGCGCAGGCCGCGGTCTACACCTCTTCGAGTTTCGTTCGTATTGATCGTTTTATGATATCGTTCGTGCTGGCAGCGCCTCTAGCAGCTCCCGCAGATGATCATTGGTTTCGATGGGTTGAACTTTTGTCATTTTCTTGGTTTTAGAGACGCGCAGCTAAACGTCATGGTTCGTCTTGCGTAGGAAGTATGCTAGCGAGGGAGAGGAGTCACAACGTCCGGGAAGGGCTAGGGGCTTGCGGTTGACCCGAGGAGAACCGCTACTTATTGGAGTTGATCGCCATCAGCATCGGCAGCACGGGACGAGGCGGCTCGTCCGCCTAGTTGTTCCTGGATTTGAAGTAGTAGTGTTAGTAGTTTTAATAGTTACAGTAGATTTCGTAGTGTGAGTAGTTTATTGTTGAGTTTTGTAGATAAATGTAATCTGAACTAGTCGGTCCTTTCCTTTCTCAGCGTTACGCGCTATTTATTGTGCCTTTCATACGGGTAGGGGGTAGTACTCGGCAGCGCGCGTCTAGGCGTCATGAACCTTGGCGGACGCGCGACATCGTGGGGGACAATAGGGAGTTAGGTGTAGATGCGGCGAGCACTTGCGGAAGGTGCTGATCACACTCCCCGAATCAGCCAGAAAACAAAGTCTCATTATGAAGTGTCAAGTATTCGTTGCCATGAATTCTTTGCCCTCCACAACTTCTTCAAAAATTCCTCACAACTCACAGAGTCACGCTCTCGCATGCCTTATTCTGCAGTATGTTTGGGCGGATGTTGACATGACATGTTTCCAGCTCGTGAAGTTCATGATAAGTATATAGTAGTATAGTACATAGTATTATATAAGTGATCCATACCAAAGAAGTGCTGAGGCTGGTCTTGGCCACCGGACTCAGTACCTCTTTGATCTTCTTCGCCCCAAATCGACTATTTAGTTTAGCCAGCCGTGCCATTCGATAGGATGTCCTTATCCATTTCGAATAGTCACATTTTCCATTATGTTGTGTTGTCGATGCCATTAGTTTTTGCATCTGATCCAAACCCTTCATTCTCATTTGCCTCATATATATATACTTGTGATTGCGTTGTTTGACATGTGTTATTTAGTCATAGTTCTATTACGATTTTTTATACAGTTCTATGGAGAAATCTCAGATTAAATCAAGCTGTTCACGTTCTTTGCGTTTTGTTTTGTTTTGGAAAATAAAGGGTTTGCTTACCCAAGTTTGAGGGTGGGCGTCTTATCCGCGAGTACCACCAAACCTTTTGTACTGTGTTATTCTTAACTACTATCAAAACGTGCTTCAGCGAAGTTCCGTGTGGCTGGAGTTCAAAACTGAACGAAGCCGAGAGCATCATTTTAGCCACGAAGCGAAACAAGGATGTCTTCTTCGAAGGCGGGAAGCAAAATCCACTTTTCTGCTTCCTTTGACTTCGATTTCTATCAAGCCCTTTAATTGCTTTTGAGTAAGGGTTCGCCCGTTACTTTTGATCATTCCCCGAGTTGCTTCCAACTTGAGAATGAAAAAAGAAAAAGGAATAAAGAATACAAAGAAAGATAAAAAGAAATCAAAGTAATAAGAGGCACGAAATCACAAAAGACCTGAAAACACTACATCAACGTCAATAGGCACCTTTTACTCCCAATCAAGCAAAAATAGTGATTCAGACGCTCATTTCAAGAAATTGACGCAATACATGATATCGACACCAACAACACTTCACTACAACCTCGGACAAATACCCATTACAATATTAGGCCTAAAGGGACAGTATGAATTACCTATACAATACCGTAATAAAGACCTGTGTTCGGGATTAAGTTCTTCATTGCAGAGTGTTACTTTAGTGGATATATTCAACAAGGTCTAAGTTCTTTGACAAAAGATCTACAGTCACTAAGGGAGTAAAACAAAAAGAGAAGCACGCCAAACTTGTTTTGTAGGGCCAGACGAAGTGCATTTGAAGAAGAAAGAAGGCTTAGCCATAGCAGAACCCAAGGAAGACATCACAGTCATAGAAGACGAAGAGAACACGCCGATACTATTCAACTTAAATACTTAAGAATCACAATTTGATTTCCAGGCACTTCATTTTTGCTCTTATGCTGCAGTTGCAATCATCATGTAGGGCATTACTGTGTTGTCGCGATATACTTTTATTGTTGTTTGAAGTGTTTATTACAATTTTTTGGTCAAGGAGGGATCTGCCGCGCATCATTCGAGTTTCATTTATATTGACTGAAGAACAAGAGTCCCACCTAAAGACAAGAACAAAATATCCCATCAAACAGAGCGTTTCGATCCCAGCTCAGCACACGGATGGACCAGCAGAAATCAGATAGATACGAGTTCTGCACCAGATTCTAATGTACACCGCCAATTTTGACTGACAAAAGGTAACGCATACAAAAGACTTTCACGAATGGCATCTCTAGAGAAGTGAATGCAGCATGCAGGCCATCTAATATTGAACATTCATCTAACAAGGGAAGCGTGTGTAGTCGAAGTCGAAGTGACCTCTTTAGATGGGACTCATACTGCTTTGGAGAGTATTGCACACTGATTCCAAATCTGCCTTCATTGTCTGCCAAGCGCCTATCGACGCCGAGTTATGGGCGTTTTTAGGCTCAAAAAATTGAACGCAAAGCTGGAGCAAAATTACCCAAATTCGCTCAAATGGTCCAGTGTCGAGTATCAGAGAAGTTCATGCAATGGATATATTTTGTCTAATATGCTAATACTTAACATTGCTTTATCTGAGCCCTGAAAAGATTGTAACAGTTGTTTTCGCATAAATTCTGCATTCATTTTTCGTTCGGAAAAACGGTCATAATTCGGCGTCCAGAAGCGCTTGGCAGATAATGAAGGCAGATTTGAAGCAACCGTGCAATGCTCTTCAAAGTGGTTTGAGTCCCATTTAGAAACGCCACTTTGACTAAACACGCTTCCCCTGTAAATATACATGACGATGCACCGCAGAATGAAGAATGATCAAAACATATACTTTCAGCTGCTGTCCATTCTGACTATTTAACATCCCATGATCTTCCCAACCACCCTTTACAGGACGCTATAGGCACTTGTTCTTAACGAGTCAGAATGAAGATTCCACAGCGAGCTAGAACGAAGTGAAAACACAACGAAATCGCTGATGGTGAGATGAAGAAAATGAGTGAAACTTGAAAACAGTGAATAAGAAGTAGTTGTGGGATGCAGTCATTACTGAGCATTCAAATTAGCAAAGTTGCAAAATTCTGCTTATCGAATGTCTCCACTCATAGTCACTTGAGAGAAGTGAAATTTTATATGAGTTTACCACATATTTTTTGCATCCTAGCGCATATGAGAAATGAAGATCTTAATGACCGTTTCCAAAAATAACTGATCGTAACTCCTCCATGGTACGAACGAGGGGACTAGTGAAGGGATATTATGACCTTCGCAAGAACTTGAGCGAAACTTTGAAACGACTGGTGATCGCTAGGCCTAGAAACTTTGACTAACTAGCAGGAATACCGCAGACAATTTGGTTGAGCAATCATGCGAAGAAAATTGAAATCTCAACGACAAGTCAATTCCCGTGAGATCTGCGGCAAGTGAGTGGCTTTTCCGAGGGCATTGTTACTTCATCCAAGCAATTGAAAAGAAAATATGCATCAAAGATACTCAATGGGTCTGAACTGCCGTATAAAATTTCTTTTGAGCTTACAGTACCATGATCCGGAGTTTTCGCCGCTGTGTAATATCTTTGTACCCGTTTTGAAGACCCTGATTTCTCAGAATTCATTTAATCACTCGCACTCGTATCAGTCAAAATTCAACTTCAGCCGATTAGAATGTTCCTTTGAGCATTTATGAAAATATCAACTCTGAATTATCTGACCCAACACTATATCAAAGCAATTTCTCCAAAAAGAATTCAATTCATAACCCGATACATAACAGAAAAACAAAAGGAACATGCAAAAATGTAAAGACAATTCACACGTAATATCGCTCACAGACGTGTAGATTCACCAATGCTTTGGATTACTATGTACGAACTTTGTAGTTATCAATTAACAAAAATAATTAACAAAAACAATAGACTTATAACTTTTAAAGGATCATGACGAGAGAAAAGTCGGGTTGATAATGTACAAATTCTGAAAAAAAAATAACAGGAGAAAAAGCCTCTGGAGAATTGATCCAGATATTCAAGAACTCCAAAAAGTATGTACATGAACTAGATATCAAGAAAAGCGTCATGATTCAATCTCATGAGATATATCCGCCTGCTCCGGCGGACCTTTGCTAATGATCTTTCCATTCGCCATCTCAATCACAGCGTCAAAGTCTGAGAGACCATGCATTACGTGCGTGATGCAGAGTACGGTAGCTCTTGGTAGGTAAGATGATATAAGCGACATCATACGTTGGTGGACATTAACATCAAGATGGGACGTAGCTTCATCAATCAGCACCACCTACATAAAGTTTCACCTCCTCTTAGAATAATGAAAACGATATGCACCGCCTGCCAAGAAGTGCTCACCTTGCATTGTGCCAACAGAACTCGACAAATTGATATGATTTGCCGCTCCCCAAATGACAAATTTTTGCCGCTTTCTTCAATCTGCCCGTCTAAGCCACCAATCCTAGCCATGAGTGATTCTGAAAGAGTCCATTTATCAAATAAAAAGACTCCTTAACAAAAATGTTGACCTAAATGTGCGCTCCTTGCAAGTGTGGCTACCTGATCTTCGGTTGCATGTTCGCAGCCAACTGCAAGGTTTTCGAAAAGGGTGCCGCTGAAAACGAAGAACTACAGAATAGAGGCCCCAAACAAAACAAAAGAATAAGAGTTTGAAAGGTGATATCGGAAAGGTGATGCCACGACGCGCTTAGAACTTCGTCCTGACATTCATCAGGAAATAGCCGTGACAAGGCGAAAGGAGGACGCGAAAAAAGAGGAAGAGGTGACAAGTGCAGAATATTTAAGTAGAACAATCCGAAGCACTTCCTCAAGTTTCTCCAGCTTTGATTACTCGAAACTTGAGAACCGAGAAAGGCTTGATTAAACCCGACTGACAACGGCTAAGGCAGATAAAAAAATTAACTCTTTCAAAACTTTTTCAAATACATTCGTTACCAGAAGTCGACCAACCTGAATATAAACGGATGCTGTGGCACAACTCCAAATGCTCTCCGCAACATTCTCAAGGATAAAGTAGATGCATCGACTCCATCCAAGAGAATCTGTCCAGATTCGATGGAAATTGTACGCAGTAACGCCTTGAAATAGCTAGGTATTTTAAAGTGGACACTACGGTGTCGTAGAAATCAATACCTGCAACAAAGTTGTCTTCCCGCTTCCTGTCCTGCCAATAATGGCAACTTTCTCTCCAGGAGCTATAGTGACATTTATATCATCCAGTGCTAGCGGTAAGTAACGGCTGTATCGTAGAAACACCTTCCTCAGCTCAATTCTCCCAGTAAACTCCAGCGGTGGCTAAAAAAGTAAATGATTACTAGCAGCAACATCTTAAGCGTGCGCGCACCTCATCTTTGCCATTATCATCCTCGTCAGGTACATTTGTGAGGTAATCGTCAATTCTTTCTACAGACACCATCTCTTTCTCAGTTTCAATGAAAGAACCCAATAACCCGTTGAGGAGACCAGTCAGAGATAAAGCATAGGTAATGGCAAGAGCGATGAGACCTCAAAATTATTTGATAACTAATAAGCACAAAAACGTTTGATCAAAGCCACCTGAATCAACACCCCAAACTTGATGTTGAACGACGGCTGATATGGCTATGGTAGCCACAATGCCAACAGCGATCAGCGATAGACGTATGGATAGCCACTGAGTTGCAGCTAACGATGAGAACTGGGCTCTCAGGTTTACGGTAAGCCTTTCACGTAATTCTTTTGCGAATCTAAGTACATGGTAAACTCAACACAGAATAGTAGATAACGAAATTCAAGCAACCTGTCGACAAATCGCTGTGCTCGAATAGTAACAAGTCCATTTACGGTATCGCTCAAATGAGAATAGAATGGTGATAAACTTAGAGAAGTAAGTCGCTTCAGCTCTACAGTGGTAAGCCTGTAAAGGGCAAAAACATTGTGAAGACCTCCACTTTGTCTTATGTCAGTCTAGCAGAAGTGAGAAGAGATACACCGACCTGTAATACTTTTGGATGAAGTAATAAATTGTCAGTAAGAGAAGAATAATAGGTGTCATTAGCGGTAGACCCATGATTGTGATTACCATTGTACCGATGAGATTGAAGAAAGACGCAAGAAGAATATTAAGCTGAAAAAGTGACAAAATTTGAACTATCGGGATGTAGAATATACAAAACAACATAAATTTCCTATACATAAAGTTGGAGAAAACCGCAGATGAGTAAGCGCAGAAAAGACAATCATTTGTGTCAAATTACCAAAAACACGATATCAGGTCGATAATGAGAACTTAACTCACAAAAAACCCCTTAACAACCCTAACCAACCTGGAAAGGCAAATTATCGTCACAGGTGTAAACATCCGAACAAATCCGATTTATGACTCGACCAGATGGGGTGCGATCCCACCATGACGCCGAAGCCTGAAAGGAAATGTTGCTGAGCTCAAATAGACACTCAAATGCTCTAACCTTAAGAAGTTTGTGTAGAAGATTGGCATGAAGATGCCTAGCTGCTTGGATTCCACCGTAAGCAAATAAGAAAGCTCTAATGCAGGTAAAGATTGTGTTTGCTGCCGCTATGCATCCGTAAATAATTAAAAAGTAGACAGATCGGTCCATCTGCTGATCGTCCATGAGGCTGAGATAAGAATGTGAATAAAACTACCGAAAAAATCTAAATCAACTTACTCTATTTGTCTCGGACCAAAGAGCAAGTTACTCAAACCACCAGGTACGGAGTTTCTCGTGAAGTTGTTCTGCTTTTCTGTCCAACGGCTCAGCCACCAGTCTGCTGCATTTTTTGAGAACTGCATCAAGCATAAGGCTATCAGAATGACAACACTCAATATGCGACCCGTAGCATGCAGGTATGCTTTGAACACGGAGATTTTCACTTTTCCGACCTAAAAGGTATGTAAGAAATCCCCCGCTTTCACCGCTACGAAAAAAAAACTAACTTGTCGCTCCTCGTCCTGGAGTATTATACGCTCCATCTCTACCTCTTTGCCACAGTCTTCGCCATTTGCGTCGAGCTCAGCTGCTTGAACCCCAAACACTTCCTGGGGAGTCCCTAAAGTGCCATAACGAAGAACATTTTTTCTTGGAAGAGGAGGCAATCTATTCACCTTTAGCAACAACATTTCCATCTTTTCCTAGCACAATCACTTCATCAGCTCTGGTTAACAATTTTTTATCATGTGTTGCCACAATCACCAGTTTGCCTCGATTTCTAAGTTGCTTCTCAATCGCCTCCACCCAAACAAAGTCAGCAACGCGTCGGTCAAGAGATGCCATTGGCTCATCAAGAAGGTACATAGAGTTGTCCTGCAGGAAAAGTGCAAAGTGGGCGAGATAAGCAAAGAGATTGGGCACTTTACCTGATAAAGTGCCCTTGCTAACGCTACACGAGTTCTTTGCCCTCCGCTGAGTGTCGCTCCATTGTCGGAGATCTCGTATTGGTCACCTCCAGGCATAAGCTAAGAGCACATCAATCAAAGCAAATAAGCAGAAAAAAAGCGATAACAAAAGCATGGTAAAAGGAAGTGTAGACTTCAGTCAATAACTTAAACAGACGTGCGACTTACATTGATATCCCTTTGCAAAGAAGTCATCTTTAACACAGCATCGTATAGCTTGGGGTCAAAATCCTTCCCTGCCGTTATGTTCTCCCTTACGGTGCCTTAAACATTATTTATCAACACTCAGAGGGGTAATTAACATAACCTTTGATTCAACCGGATTGGCGGCTGGAAGGCGGGTTTTGTGACCTAATTAGGGCCACCCGCGACCGCGACGCAGTCTGCAGCCTGCGCTTCTCTCGCGCGCGTGCTCTCTGATCATTTCCTAACCTTGACTAGGCCACAAAGCTCCGCCACCAATCCAGTTGAATCAAAGGGTAGACAAAAAGAATTCATGTCTAGTAGTCAACAATTATCACAACAGCAGCATTACTAGCAAAAATCAGAATGAAAGCAAAAGAAAATAAGAACCTCGGTAGAGCCACCGCTCCTGTCCCATATAGCCAATGCCATCAGAGACACTTTCTTGTGTGATTCCTATGCATTCAGTGAGAGATTTTGTCTCACCGAGCAGCCCTAGAAAAATATACTAATGCTGGATAGAGAATTGCAAAAAAGTGAGCCATAAAAAGATTTAAAGCATAAGAAGGAACATTATTGTTACCTAACAGGAGGGTTGTTTTGCCACTTCCAACATCACCAGAAATTCCAATGATCTTCCCCTAAACAATAATCTTCGCAGAAATGACTTTTATGCAGGAAACCGTACGAAACCTTCGTTCCACGGAACGAGACTCCGCTGATGGCATGCCTGGACCCTCTCCAGAAGAAGTTACCCTCTCTTACGTACATCACAGCATCCTTATCTGGATGTACGCTTTTGGCATACCAAGAAGTACAATTCGAACAAACCTCCAGATAGCGTGTATATATCATGCACATCCATATTATTCAAATTAAAAAGACGCCTAAGCCTCCTCAATGATACCAAAGCCTCGACAAGGCCGTTCAACACCCAAGGAAAGGCGTTCAGGGGCATGATAAGAATATTGACAAGAGCTAGACAGGTGAAAGCCTAAAATGGATCAAACACGAAAAAAAACTTTGAAACATTACAAAAATCAATCGAATAGTTGAAGAAAAAATTGAAGAGATCGAGTCCCACCTTAGCTGCCGTTAGCTTCTCATGCAAAGCTAAGGTGTAAGTTGTGATGATGCATATCGTGATCAGAAGCGGAGCAGATGCCCAAAGGTACACACAAACAGCATCAAGATACTTGCGGGCCTGAAACGAGCGATTTTTCTGACATTGGGTAAAATCATGTGTAAAAAGCAAACCTTCAGATACTTCAGCTCATCCTCTCTTAGTTCAGTAATCTTTTTCTCAAAGAAAGGTTCCCAGGCCGATGATTTTACGGCTCGAATCCCTTCCATAGTTTCCCGAACTAGCTGAAAGCTTTGATTGCTTGATCATAACCAAAACACTCAGAATAACCAACCTTGATTCTCTGATCCTTACAATGCATAAGTTTCGCAGACATTTTTCCAATCCAATCAGTGACCTTCTTGTTGAGAGGAATAAGGATTATAGCGACCATCACACCCGCTAAGAAAGCCATACCAATCTGTAAACCAGTGATATAGACGGAAGAAAAAGAGTAAGAAGGGGAATTTACCTCTCGATAGAGTAGGTAAAGAGCAATGCCCAGTTGTACTGGTAAACTCCAAAAAGCGTGAAAAGAGTTGCAGAAATTGACGATGCGATCAACGTCGGTAGAAATATAGTTAAGAATTGCTCCTAAAACACGGTGATCGACCGGCTTAGCAAGGACTGATGAAAATCAAAAGAGAACTGTTCTCATTTGTTGCATGGAAGGAAAAGAATGAGAGGTACACTTCTGAAAAAAAATAATTGAAGACATACCCGAGGAAAACTTGCTCATCTCACTCAGAGGTACCATCAACAATTTATCATATATAGCAGTCACTGTAGCTGTGCGAACTCTAAACCCATTCAATGTGTAAAATGGCATGTAAATGAAGAGGAAGAAAATTGTTTAAAAAATATCACGAAAATATACCAGAGAGAAAGAAAGTAGAAAATGTGTCTGAAAAAAGTCACACGTAAACACTTACTTCAAGCTAATTTTCTGCATATAAAAGGTAAAATTGGTGGAAAAGAGAGCTCCCAAAAATGAGCAGAGTACCATTAGACCGGCATAAAGATATCCTAGGTTCTGGAAAGACAATAATCAACAAGATACCGAGTTTACTTGCGCACAACCTACATTTGGAGCAGGGTCTTCCAAGATTTCTACAAGAACATGGAGCAGAATAGGACCCGCGAATACAAAAGCATCAGAAGCCAATCGTATCAAGCCAAGCGAAAAGAAAGCAAGACCGTAGGTGGAAAGAAGAGCTCTGAAGAAATTCGAGAAAATGACTAAATTACCCAAAAAGAGGATATAAAAAGCATGCAGAACTTACGATGATAACGAATATCGCTGGTTGTCGCTATAGTAGGTGGGTGAGTTCTCCACCATTTCCCGCTCAATTTTTGCCACTTCGAGAGAAGGTGGCAATTGGAAAACATCGTCAATCTGATATGAGATTGTAAGGAAGGTTGTAACATTACCAGATAAAAGTGATACTACTACTATTAAAGGCAGCGCTCCGGCAAAATCTCGCTGTCTAGTTTTCACTATGCGGAGCCTTCTTGCCATGAGAAAGCCATGGGCTTTTCAGCGCATGATAATGGCGAGAATGACCCTTTTTCGAAGCTTCCCAAGTCCCTATTCCGTGAAAATACGCCGGAAGTCTTCCACACCCGCCTTCCTCGTTCCGGGCCATTTGAATATTTTCCACTGAACGCGGACCTAAAAGCTTCAAAGAAGCCCATTTTTGACATTTTCATGCAAAAGCCCAGATATGGATTCCTCAGGCAAGAGGTTCCGAAAACATGCCAGGACACTGCCTTTGATACTGATAATGATAATAAGGACGATAAATACCAATATGATAATAGTGAAAGTAATGACAATAAACTTATAAGATAAAGATTTTGGTAGCAAAATCGATGCTTAAGATGAAGACTCACCGAATGCAGCTGCAATTTTGCTCCTTTCTGAATCAACACATTAGTCCAGCAAAAGAATATGCGAGAGAAAAATCCAGCAGATTCATCAGCTCGTCCATGTAGCATCACGTATCCGTCACCGCCTGATTGCTGCTGCTCGAAAACTCTGAAAACACAATCGATATGAAATGCTTTACGATTTCATCAAAGCGCCCTTCGAAGCCCAAAAATACAAGCCGCGGCAGTAGCAGCGATGGTCAATAAAACTGAACACATAACAGCTGACTACGATTCGGTACTGCTAACAACACGCTCTACCGCCGCTGCGTCCCCTGCACCCGTTTGCATGCTTTCTAACCTTCCCGACAGAAAAGCTGTGCTCGGACTATAGATCCTTGCTCGAACGCATCTAACAAATCGAAAAAACAACGAAAGTGCAATATCGGCTAGTTTTATAGAACTTACTTGTGCTTCCTCCATTCTATGATATTTCCTATGGATCCAATGGTCTGGGCAATGGCGACAGCAAAAGGAATATAGGTTCTTGGGTCTTTGAAGCCGTAAAGCAACCATCTATTGAGGGTGATGATATAAAACATCTTGGATGCTAAGAAGATAGAAACGGATAATCCTCGCGTACGGGTCCAACTGAAAAAAATGTATACACCAACTAATTTCAACCAAATAAAAATCAAATAAAAATAACGAGATTCTTATTTTCCAAAAAAACAGGTTTTTATATTCCAAAAAACTACGGTTCATTTGTGCATTAGATTTGCTCAAAAAAATTATACGTAGTGCATGAGAAAGTTTCACTTCACTAGCCCATTGGTATGGTGCACTTCTACCGATATACCTTCTATCTATACTTTCTCGCACTATCACTTCTTCCACCAAATCGCGCGCGACCTCACACTAGCGGCGGAAATTCGCGTTTCGACAATATGTATATGGAAAAGATGTAAGCTCACCTCATTGCAATTTTTGAATGAGTCCATAATCCAGCATATAATGTCCATATAAATGCCAAGATCCCATATTCAATGAGCAGAACGGGTTTTAGATGAAACCTCATCAAAAGGGCAAGCGGGAAGGATACGGTCATAGCGACTACGGTAAGTGTGCTGATAATGATTTTCAAAGCAAAAAGCCATGATACGATGGAGCCGCGTTCATACCGTGGAAAGCCTCCCTAGAATGAAAAACGCCCACTAAAAATGCGAAAAGAATGCAAAGAAAGCAAAAAACATAACAAAACCACTGCAAAAAAAAACGGAAGAAACACACCTGTACCAACATCAAATTCAAGACAGAGAAAAACAACAATGGAAGCGATTCGCCAATGACTAGTGCAAATTCCCCACATGGTGTCAGTGTCCAGGTGGACTCATCCATAAAGTAGCGGGTCCGAAATGAGCTGCCATTGACAAACCCACAAAAGTCCCAGATGGGGCTCGCCGGGGTAACCATACCCACTTTGCCACTAAGTCAATCTAAGCAGACTTCTACGTACTGAAATTAGTCATAAAGTGTTATTTACAGCACACAGCTGTGTGAAGAGCGGGTTTTCGCGGGAGTGAATCATCAGACTGAAATGTTAGTGAGTTTACTCGACAGTAGCTACTTTGGATACGCAAACCAGATAAAATAGAAAGAGAATGGACCTTCAGGCACTTCCATAAGAGAAGCGGCAGGCCTTTGCTGCCTCCTGCCCGGCCGCCAAACTCTTCGGGAAATTGAGAACATGGATATGCAGAGAATTCAATGTAACCTTTGATTGAAATGGCTTGGCTGCTGGAAGGCGGGGATTTGTGACCTACGCAGTTGTCTCGCCCGCTTCGTGCTCTCTGATCATTACCTATTAACTAGGTCAAGAAGCCCCGCCCTCCAGCCGCCAAGCCAGTTGAATCAGTACGCTTAAAAAACTGCAGCAAATTCAAATACAACGGAACAGGAGATCTAAAGTGAAGCAAGTCGTCGTGATCAAAACAATTGTTTCTGCGGAATTCAATCCGATTGAAAAAAATCACGAGAAACTGAGCTAAGTGACCCTTAAATTTTTCATTATATTACATGACTGGTTCAACAAATTAGCACACTTAGGTGTTGAAAAACAGACGTTATGCAAAACAAACTCTGATAAAATCTTTGAAAAGGAAATAAAGAAGTAAAAATGAACCGGAAGATCCTTAGACCGACTTGTTTTCGTAAAAAAAACGGTTGGACAATAAAAAACGCTCCTTACATTATCGAATTTGATAAAAACCCGGTCTTTTTTTTGCACATAGCGATCTAAATTCAAAAAAGTTCACCTGATTACCTAAGGGCCTTTTATTAAGTTCTTCATTAGTAACCTGTCAAACCGAGAGAATCAGATTGTAGATGTTTTCAGATTAAAATAATTGCGCTACCCAATGGAACTCAGAAGGAACAAAGCAAAATTTGACAGACAAAAATTCCAACAAAGGACAGCTCCAGGCATTAGAGGCGAGCTAGCAAGCTGCACTAGATTGATCTACATGTAGATCAATCTAGTGCACCAATAAATTCAACACCAGAAAACAAATAGCGGAGTTATCAAAGAAAGCTGGGACACGATAACGCTAAAGCGGCGACAGTAGCTGGCAAAGAACTCAAAAAAGAAAGAGCTGAATGACTGTAAACAAAATCGATACAGTTCAATAATGCAGGGCCAGCTCAAACGAAAAAAAAAACATGATTAGTAAAAATATAACCATTGGAATTAGGTAACTGAATAGATACACGACACTCTTCAGTAGCGCAACTAACAGCTCTTAGTTGATAGCCAAAATCCAAAGCAGGAAGAACCCAAAAAGATATGGAGAAACCTCCTACCGCTCCCAGAAAAACCTCGAAAAAGCATTACAAGCTTGAATAAAATGCCGTAATATTCCGTGAAATGGCAATTGTCGCCGACGCGCATTTGCGTCTCCGCCTTCAAATTCCTTTTTTATCAGCGCAGAAGCCCAATGTTTACCATGTTCTCCGGTACGTTTGGGAATCCACTGTACTTTTTCGCCACAAATACATCCCATTTAACACAAGCAGAGATGTGGGTTCGCTTGTCGGGTATGTATTCTCAATTTTCCTTCGTCCTTGTTCAACAGAATCCCTTTCCAGACATCCTTGAGTTCTTCTTCGTTGCACATCCAGCATCGGGCAGAAAAGAAGGAGAGGAGCATCAGCGAATAATGTACTTTTACCCAAAAGGGGATACACTTGACCGGCAAGCGAGTTTTTCGCAGCTTTCCTCCTCCCCAGCTCCAAACGATGTTTGTTGTTTTTAGACAGAAATAACCGGATTCGCGGAGGCGGTGGTAAACTTCACAGATAATTTCGTGAGTCCACGAGATCAGGCCGAGAAACCTGAATTCCCATTTCGAACAGTATCCACCCAAAAGTCAGACCATGTCTATATCCAAGTGGAAGAATGCGAGTTCCTCATTGGGCTTGCTTTGTCCAAGTGAGTCAGTTTCTAACGACGAGCGTTTATTCTATTTTTCCCTCTTTTATCCATTATTTATCGATTTTGATCCCTCCTCAGTTTTTCTCGATTTTTCTCAAACTTTTACTTAATTGTAGTTAGATCCTGCTGTTAGTTTCACTTATGAGTATGCAGGGGTTTTTACAGGTTTTGGAGACGTCACGGGTTGCAGTTAGGTAGAAATCATGAGGCATAGTATAACTATTTTGAAGAAAAAATGCGCTTTTGTTCCTATACCGGTAATAGTGATGCTTTTTCAGGATACAAAATGCTGCAGCGGAGTACTCCCTGTTCTTGCCGGCTATTCAAAATGTTTTGATTGGTGCCTACAAGATGTTTCGGCTGTTCTTCGGTGAATTTAGCTCATTTAGGTACGTTCAAAATTTGAATGCTTGTTATGGTTCTGCACTTTTGTCATGTCTTCTGTCTTTAGTAAAAAGAATTCTCATAAGTTCAAAGAACGCTTGGAATACTTCTTTGGTCGATATTTACCTCTATTGAAGTTACACAGGGTGAGTACGGTATTCTTTCGGTCAGCGGTGAAATTCGTTTGATTGCAGATGCCTCTTCTAGACTATTTAAATGGAGCTGCATTTTTACCTTTGAATGGTCCAACATATCTAAATGTGGTTTCCTTGTCATCAGAGCTCCTTGAGGAGTTTCCAGTCATTCAGAAGGTTCTGATTCTTTACCAGGTATCTTCCTTACCACCTCTTGATATCATTAGATCTTCATTTGTGCATTCACATACTTGTGACTTTTGCAGGACAAAGTTTTGTACTATACAATATCTCGTCGAGATCTACCTTCTTTATTTCGGTATCTCACTCAAAGTCTTCTCCCAATGAGCATAGGAGACGAGCTCGACTACCAATCTCGGTAAGTAATTGCAAGCGAATGATATTGAGATTGGCACGATCTTTTTGATCTGCTTTCTCGTAAAAAGTTGAAGCTGTTTTTACCCTTGAATCATACGTTTGGTAGAAGTTATATACACTCAATGCCAGCGCTTCTTGTAGCTCAACTCATGGTCGGTATCTTCGTGGACCTTCAGATATAACTACCGATGAACCACTTGTGGGTGACGATGCCTTACCCACTGTTCACATTTACAACTATAACGAGAAAGAAGATACCGAAGAGCTTGTTAAATATCAAATGGTAAGAGGTAGAGACCTTGAGATTACCTCTTTTCTATGGCGAAGTTGCAGATGGTGTATCGAAGCCTTAACGCGACCGTATGCATGTTCACCACGCAAGATGTGACCAGGAAGCTGATGCGAAACATTGACAGCTACCTGGGTAGCGAGCTGAGTAAAGTTGCTTCGCAGATTGGAGATTGGTAGGTTTATGTTAAAATATGCAATATCTCTTTTTGAACATCCAACGTCTAAATTTTGCTGATCAAACTTTGCATGATTTTTTTCTTCTAATTTGGTATACTCTCAAAATAGCGAGGCGATCTTTAGAAAAAACCAGTATTGTTTGCACTTTTGGAAATCTCCTGAGAATTTTTATCGAGTTATATAGACTTTGGTGCTTCCATCATGTAGTTTCCCCTCAAATCGACCGCTCCTCCTTTTTTTTGCAAAATCACTATTGTCCGTCTGCTATTCCATTCCAATCTTTTTTCTTGATCTGCCCATTAGTTTATCACTTTGATTCCGTTCTACCGACTGTCTAAAATGGAAAATAGCGGCTATTCCCTTTCAAAATAGCGCAGAGTGCAATCAACAGCGATGCTTATCAGTCACGAGAGAATAAGCAAACATCTTTTCTATTGCTTCTTCCGTCGAAACACAGAAACTTGGGTCAACGTGTCTTCAGACTTAGCAGAAACATCAGATTTCTTCCTTTTTTTCCTGGAGCAAAGTGTGAATTTAGCACATTTAAAACATCTGAGATTGGATTTGAATTGTACTTTTGCACAAAACTGGGTACTATATGAGGCGGCTATAGTTTCTGTAATCCGATAGGATCTTCCAGTGCAGATTGCGGACAACTATAGTTGACTGCACAAAATCGCCCGGGCTCAACGCTCGCAAGTCTGTCTCTTGCGGGCTAACATTGGCATGCGCGCGCTTGAGTCACCATAGCGCCTACACTCGGCAGCCGCGTTGCAGGCACGCTCGCGGGCATTCAGATTACAGCGATATGGGCGATTTCGCGTAATCCATTATACTCGTATTTGCATTTTCGCACAAAATTTTCTGTAAATCTAGTGTGATACAGTCTGAAGTTGAAATATCCTGAAAAAAGAAAGTAGAGGTTGTGATTTCAACCAGGAAATATCAGCCATACTATCAAATAATCATAATTAAGAATAAGCACATACAAATCCTTCATTGTTGTCATAATCAAAGAAGTTTTCAAGTCCTATTGCTTTGACTCTGCTATTTGGCAATTTCTTTTGTAGCACAGATGTCTTTTGTACTGCGGTCATTTTCAGCGTGCTTGCCCAAAATACGGACACATTATCGACACCCGACTTCCACTATATTTATTACAACCCGGCTTCGCTCAGTTTGACGTCTTCATTTACTGATTCAACAGATGCTCCAAAAGCCCCGCTTCCCCCGCCAGAAGTCAACAAGTAAGTTTGACGTCAGTAAACCACCTCACTACCAGTAATATCTGATGAAAATGGAAAATATTATAAAATTAACTTCTTAAGACTATTTATACTTTATGTTTTTGGCTAGAGCATCGACTAAATTTGTGATTTTTTGCAATGGTGGATGCTACGGATTCTAGATGTCCTTTTTTAGCCGACTGCAACAATTTTAGTCCAAAAATATTTCCTAAAAAGTCTTCTGTTTGAGAAGTTCATAGTGGCATGTGGCATGTTTGAAAGCTCAGAATAGTCATACCTATGAGACTTTGAAGTTCTGCTGAGCTGTTAATCTTTAGACTTGTCTGCACTTCCCTTAAAAGCTTCCTGCCAGATGCAGATGAATTTGGCGAATGCTTCGCGAAATCTGAATCAGACTGGTGGATAGTGTTGAAAAAGGTGATTTTAACAATCTTTGTTTTTCTCATTTTTTTTAAAATTGCTTTTCCGAAAGTTTGTATCCGTATAATAGTTTTTTATTGCTGTTTTTTGAATATATTCACGGGATTTCGAAACATGCAGCATTGTCATTTTTAGAAGATTCCGTTCGCTAAATTGATTAGATTGAACGAACGATGGAGCCAACCCACTCAGCTTGCTTTTTTAGTTGGATAATTAGATTTGTTTGTGCAAGCTTTGAAATGGGGCAGAGTTACAGTTGCCATCTGGAAATCTCTTCTCTCAAAACTTTTTTTAAAAATTCTCACGTATATCACCACTACACGTGTTAGAAGAAGCGTTGTTATGTATTGCAGAAAGCTCTGACATCATATTTCAAAGGGTTTTTCAGCACTAGAGATGTTTACTTTTCTTTTTTTCTTCATGATTAGACATTTGATATGCCTGGAAAATTTTTAGGTGAATTCACGTCTGCTGTGCTTGCTCCTGCCACCCACGTCCAGCCAGCAGTCGTTAGCCGATATTCAGACGCGCACTCTTGGAATAATCAAGACGCACTTCGAAGCGATTTTCTTTAATTGAAAGCGAATTTGCATCGCTGAGTGTCATCTACGGGTACCTCCCCAGATTGTTTATGCTTTCCTTGATGTGTCTGTGGTAATTTGAATCATGCTGGTCATTTTTGAAAGCTTTTTATGTGATATTGTTTTATCTTGCCCTTCATATTAACTTTTTTCCTCCATACTATGGACGAAGTAATATCCCTGATCTTCCACTCTCCGTGTTTGCCAACTTTTGCGTGACACAAGCCCCAAAAGTAATTCATCACCGAGTGAACTAATCTTCTCGATCGCCCGTAATGATGGTAGATACCAAGGGATTGAAGTGACTTTCGCGGCTGACCCACCACTACTTTTACCCCCAAAGTGTAAACAAATTTTTTCAGTTTGCATCGTATAGTTGACTACGTAAGCGTTCAGATTTGATTTGATTACTTATATGCCTTATGGATAAACTAATCTGTCGTTTATCGGATCGTGAAGCTGTTTATGTGCTGTTTGCCGTTCCATAAGTGGCATGTTTTCAAGTTTAGAGGCAATCAGACTACGAGTATGCCTAAACTATACTTGCTTATAAATACGTATTCGTTTCTAGAGGCTAATTTTTGCTATTGAAGCCTTTTTTTTACATTTATTGGTATGGTTGGAGTGAATCTAGGATGGACTTCTTTAGTGAATGGTAACTGTTGCAAAGCCTTGACTGATTCGTTGTCCAAGTCTCAAGTCATGGGTTCTTTCTTGACTGGGAAATTCATCTCTGAATTCTCACCAACACTGTACTCTCCAAGCCCCCTGTCCGTCAGTGACGGTTGGGGCAGGTATTCAAAGTTGAGTTTTCCGGTCACAATCGAATCATGAGCTACCGCTTCGGCAGTGGTCATCAGTACTCCCCAACAAGTTTCCACTAAAATCTAAGTATGCAGTTATCGTCACTCCCTTCAATGGAGATTTCCCCCTTCTCGGTGGGCTCTCTTGGTTCCAGTGTCTTAGCTAGAGCAGCGCCGATTTCACGGATCACCGGCATTGAAAGGCTGGTACCTCTTTCGCGAATTGTTCTCGCGAGAGAAGTCATATGCTTCATTGTTCTCTTGCAAAAATTTCTAGGTAAAGGTTGGTAGTTGCTAAGACTTGCTTTCTAAATTTTTTCGACGACCATATAGCACTCACTTGGAAATGTTCTCATTTTACACAATCAAGAGTAAAAATATGCAAGCAACTTGTGTATTCGTGTAAATAATCAAAATAATTTTTGAAATTTTCTAATTGAAATTGGCCTTGTAAAAATTTTTTTCGAGGGATGAATGTTGAGACGCCCCTTTCTTCTGGATTTTAGGGATTATGGGCCCGCAAGAATTTTGAGATGCACCCAGAAAATTTTTTTGAGTGCGTGGCTAACGCCATCTTCATCTGAAAAAGAATTCTGACGCTCCCCCCCCCCCCCCTCTTCCCCGAACAGGAATCCTGCGACCGCCACTGGTATCTTATCAAATTCTTGTTATGAGAATGTGTTCAATCCCAAATTATTGTTTTGCCTTGCATCTCAAGCATCCGCCGTAGGACCACTGTAGGGCTTGGTCGCAAAAACTTTCTTTTTTCGAAACAGTGTTACGAGCCGAGAAAAATTTGTCCGGGAAGGAGTGGTATCTTTTTTTTTCATTCGTCCCTGATTCTATCACCAAAAATAGTCGCTGAATATACGCATTGCATACCCTTGTAAACTTTACAGGGGGTTAGATACGAAGAAGAATATTGTATATTCAATGTTCTATGATAAGATTTACATTTTCATAACCTGGGAAAATATTGGTTTGCTACACCAGGAATATTTTTGTCATATTTCTTGCACGATACGATTTCAGCGGGCCTGAAAATTCTTACATAATTCTTGGTTAAATACCTACCTACACAAACTTATTGTTTTTTAACTTTTTAATTGTCTCAGTCTCTAGGGCTAAGTCTTCCATATAATTGAGGAGTTCCGGAGAAGATTTAGAAATCATGTTGTCTAAGGAGGGAATTTTGTCTTTTATCAAAAATTTACAATGGAAGGTGGCACAAAACATCGCTCTCAGCAACTCTAACCTCCCCCATTTTGTACTGACAAGGGAAAAGAAAAGAGTGTCAAGCAAGATGTTTATGTGAAGGAATAAGGGCTTAAGACGCCAATTTTTGTTGGATTCTAAAGTCCTTCACATTTGATGGAATTTTTGCTGAAATCTTTTGCAATAATTTTGAGACTTCCTTGGGAACTACTGAGAGGGCATCAGGGGAGCTACATTACCGGTATAGTTCTTAGCCCCAATACCGGATAGTGTTCAAAAAACTCAAGAGGAAAAATTCTGAGACTCTTTTGAATGTGTCTAGTATTTTATCTATTCAATGCATAAAATTACTTTTTACTTTTACGAATTTACTTTTTTGTTGCTTAAGCTACAAGTACCTATAAATGTCAAATTCAGGCTACTTGATCGCCTAGCCGTGGCTCAACTATACATCTAACGATAGCGTGACATGGCTAACGCCGTTTAGTTCCCGTAATCGCCTTCTTCGCGCTCAGGTGGTTTCCGCTTCTCGACGAGTTTTTCTATGCGGCTAAAGTAGCGGCTAGCCACTACTGCACTTCCAACGATACGAATCTCTTCCACTTTAGGCTTGTAGTTACACTGGAGTCAGTAAAGCTTTTTTTTCGCACTTATTTTCCGTTTAAATCTTTCCGTTCATCCTCTCAATCTCTTCCTGAATGCCTCTGAAAGATTTATTTAGTAAGTGCTAGAAGCGCCAGTATTTCTTTCTCTGCAAAATTGACAGACGAAGCATTAGCATTTGATTAACGTGACAAATGAGTGGACGAAGTGCTAATTAGCTTTTCGTGAAGCTTGGAGTCGCTAGGGAAAACATGAACAAGCCCCTGAAATAGACGGAGTAGAGGAGATTCGTTCGTTAATTGCCAATTTACTGAGCAAAAAACCTTGGCTATTTGACTAATACATGGTATATAGCACATTTCAAAGGAATGCACAAAAGTCAACAAACTGTACTCCCGAAGAGCTTCTAACAGGGCTCGGCATGAGTCCGTTTCTAGGCTTTTTGAAAACGGAATTCTCCTTGACTTTCGCCAAATTTCACGAAGTCCCCTTTGGCCCCAAACCATATCTGTAAAAAACACTTGAAAACGAAATGTCGATTAAAAAAACGTCGCAACTTTTTGCGACTTTTCGGCCGCGAAAAGGAAACTCTCTTTGCTTTTTTCCATACGATCTGTGCCAGGCCCTGACCCCTAACTGTGACGATGCTCGAAAAGTTTGTAGTCCAGGGGCTGAGTTACAATAAATGAAAGTTACAAGACTGAGAGTGGATATGACGATGTGTCTGCTCACTATCTAGTCAAAACAGCGATTGAAGCAGAATTTCCCTCCTGCAAAGTCCCCTAAACGATTAACGAAAAAAATAAGAGCTACTTATTAGGCTCAATATTGAGGCCATTCTTTCAAGAAAATCAAATTCACTTGTAGGATGTATCTGTGTATAAATTGGATAATTTATGAAGAGGGAAACAATATTTTGCTTTGATACTAATCTTATATAAGCATTATGTTGTTGTTTTTTATGCATTCAAATTCAAAATGAAGGCCTAATTGAAGTGAATGAATCATTCATTCTGAACGCACTAATAGGTGTGGAAGCATTAATATAAAAGTAAGATTCACAACGATTATTTGGGTTCTGGAGGGATAGGATTTTGCAGATACGGATGGAGGCCCATAAAGATAGAAATCGCATGAATTTTTGAAAAGTTTTGGGTGAGTGAACAGAACATTAGAGTAGTGGATATTATGCCATTATATTCACATATCAGCAGCGCAATGCCAAAACTTGATTTGCAGTATCGAATATTTGTATTGGGATTACTATAGCTTTCTGGGAAAATTTGCGCTGCCATTTTCTTTTTTTAGCTTTACTTTAGGCACTGCCTCCCATACAACTGACCGGAACTTCCCCAGAACGTTTGGAAAACTTCCGCAGGGTGAACTGAGGAAGTTCCCAAATGAGGTGCTGCGGAAGTTCCGAAGAACGCGAACCACAACAGCGAAAGAGAACATCTAGGCGAGATTTTAACCCTACTCTATTGACTGTGAGACTCACCTGCTATCCTTTCCACTACGGCTGACATATTCGATAATGCACTCTAGTTGCTGGCGAGAAGCATCATACGAAACATCACACTCAAAACCCTGCAGAAGTACTGGCATGTGAAAGTGCTGGAAACCGCCGGCATTGTTTGAAAGTTCCGCAGCGCTTTGTAAAAAGTCCTGCTGCAGTTCCCGTTTTCAACTAGTCTGACCTGAAAAACCTGCGGAAGTTTCCATTTTTAATGTTTTCACTTTTCCAATAGTAGACAAAATCTTGCGGAATCGCTGCAAATTTTACTTGTCCTGCGGAAGTTCTGGTGAATGTCTGAAGTGAAAAATTTGCACACTGATATGATACTACTAAAATTCAAGGCACCCTAACCATAACTACGATTTTTATCACGGTTGAAAAATTTTCATCATTGTATCTTTTATCAAAATGTTCATCCTTAGTGTTGATACGACTCTATAGAACATCAAACGCTGCAAATTATCCTAGTGGAGCCGAATTTTCTTCATCATTTGCTCCCTCATTTATTTGCACTTCGTTATCCACCAAATCGCTTATTGACCCTGGACCTAGAATTTCCTCACATTTCCTCAAATCGTCTTCGCAGCTGCACTTAAGTGGATCATGACGATTTCCTGAATGCATTTCGTATATGTTGTCGGTTGCCATAGCGGCCAATGTCTTACCTCTACCCTCGAATCCGTACACACCAGCCAGCATCTGGTCTCCCAAACACCCCTTTTTAGCTGCGTTGGTCCACTCCATCAGCTATGCTAGCACGCAATAGCCGAACGATTATAGGGGAGTGGAGGGGGGGGGGGAGGGTGCCCACCTGGCCAGGTGGGCTCCGGTAAAATTAATCGCTCACACTTATGCGCTTGTCAATGAGCTTTGTGGCTTTGAACACGCACCCACAAACCAAAGGTTACGACGGCGATTATGCCTTTTATAGCTGGTTCGTATGGTGTGCTTTCGCGTTGATTAAATTGTCGTGACCGTAATCCTGCAATCTGGTTGTTGTTCTTGACTATAGCTGGGTTTTCCCGGCTAATCTTTGGCTTTTTGATGCCATTTCTCTTCGCGCGTGCTTCCTCATTAATGTTGGCTTGATTTCACTTCATTACTGCAATCCATGCAATCGCCCAAAGGCCTTCTTGAGCTCTTGTAGGCAACAATTGGCAAATTTGTTCTTTGCGCTACAAGTGCTTTATTAACAATCAAGATTCTTCCCCCCTCCCCCCTCCAAGCCCTCCTTCTCCCTTCCAAATGGGTTGCTAAATATTTCAAAGTTGCCTACCTGGGCTAAAATTGTGCATATACTCTTTTTTACTAGTAAAAGTGATATATGTTTCATTCCAAATAACTCAAACAATTTTATGAATTTTTTCAGGGCGTGGCTGTCGCTACTCCTGCTCTTTCCTGTTTCGGGGTTCTAGGTCCGTCAAAAAATTTTTTTTGCATGCCAGGAGTTTTTTTGTTGGGCGTGGCTATCATCACATCCCTTCATCCGGAAAAAAAAATTCTGTGCTCTTTGCCCTTTCCCAGAATTAGGATTCTCGGATCATCAATGGCTCATCCTATATCACAATTTGTCGTTGTTTTTTGGCGAAAGGGGATGAGGGTGCTGGGGGATGGCATAGAGCCAAAAATGTTCCCACGTTTTTGCTACACTTACAGTTGTGAATTGGTTGCCAGTACTTTTTTTTGATTACGTTTATGATATACAAGAAATTTTGATTGATCTGTTTGATTTCTGATTTCCCGGCTTCCCTTACCTCCGAACCTCAAAAATAAAAGTGATTTGTCCCCCGAGGTTGCTTGCAATCAAAGAACTACACATCATTCTTTGTCAGCTTGCATTTTTGTCTGCTCTGCTCAAATTTCTCACATCACACGCTCGTTTTTATAATGCGTTCTCGAATTTCTCAAATCACCCTATTCTAAATTGGGCCAGCCTTTGCAAAGCAAGAATTCTTGTTTTTATTCAATTTGTAAGCTACAAATTCCTATCACTTTGCAGCAAAAGATTCATTTACGCATTGAGTTGTACTTTTCTATTGTTACTCCTTCCGGTTTTGTGCCAGCACAAAAAAAAGTTTTGGAGCAGAAGGGAAGGAAATTGAAGACAGTGTTTATACAGACACGGTGGTTTATTACTACAACTTTATTGTTGTAATTCACATTCATGGAAATCAAAATCTTAGTCACTATGCATTCGCTTTTGAAGTCACTCCGTTAGAACTATCTGTTTATTTTCAAATAATCAAAACAGTCTTAAAGCATCCCTGATGGAAGTAAAAAAAAGACAGCTAGTCAATAATTTTGAAGAAATAACATTTCCTACATCGCTTCTGCTATTTTTGTCTCATATGGTTTCTAGGCAACCTTTTGTGCCTTTATGGGCCTTTTCGAGGAGAATTAGAACGCATGTTATGAGCTGCAACGGCTCCAAAGCAGCAAATTGTCTCTAAATATGGAACAAGTAATAAAAATTGCACGAAAAACAAAGGATTCATACTTCGTGTTATTAAAATGCTTTCTTTATCTTGTTCATATTGAAGCCTTAACTCTCTGAGAGGGCTACGGAGTGATGTAGGCAATTTGCTTGCTTGCTATCCAATGAATTATGAGTCTGGAAAAAACTGTCCTGCTTGCCCTGTCATGCCATTTCCTTTTTTGCTTCAGTGCCCGTTCCCCGTCTCTACACAATATCCTTATCCAAAAATTGCTTATCAAATATTTTTGAACTAACATTGTTATTTCGGAGAACCTAATGAGTATACAAAAATGGAAATGGGCAGCTGTATCTTGTATGCAGGTAAACTCTTTGATTCAACGAGATTGGCGGCTGGAAGGCTACTGCTCGCGTCCGCGACGCAGTCTGCGTCTCTCCCGCTAACCTGCTCTCTGGTCATTTCCTAGCTTCAATTAGGTCACGAAGCCCCGCCTTCCAGCAGCCATTACGTTGAATCAGACGGTACATAATAACATGTACTCGGGTACATGGGAGGAGTCGGTCATTGAGGCGGAGTTTGCAACTTTCCAATCATTTTCTATCTGTTTTTTGAAAAACATGTAGTGTGCATATTCGTTTTCTGCTACTATTGCTTATTCAATGATTTTCATATTTTTCCTGTTGCCCTGGAAAATATATCCTACTGTTTCCTCTCTCAATTTCTTCCTTTGTCTGCTAGAAATTTTTTCGTTTGATTGCATTTCCTACAGAAAAACGCCTTTATTTTTTCCTTTCTCAATTTTCTTTTCCCTTTCTGTTTTCGGAAAAACCATTACCCTAATACAAACTTGGTAAAATATAGGATAATCTGAAGAAAATGTTGTACTAGCTTATATTTGCACTTCCATAGCAACATCAACTTTTCATTTGATGCAAAAATCATGTCTTTACTCCTGTCACACCCAAATATTCAGTTCATTTCTGTGCCCAAAATAAAGTCTCGAAACATTCTAAAAATACGTTGTCATGGATCGCATGAGGCTAGATTGAAATCTGTAAAGTTAGACTTGTTTCTTAGATTAATCATGTTTTTTTGCAGTTTTCTTCTTCCACCACATATTAAGTCATAAGTTATGTTGTCATGAAGCTGTACATAAGTCTAAACTACATTTCCTATATTTCCATTTTTTTGCATTTTGCAATCTGCAATTTTTCTACCCTCCACCAATCCTTGTCTCTCAAATATTCATCGAATAGTGTCACATTTGACATTCTGCTGCACTTTCAACGCCAAATATTCTGCATAATTGCTTCTTTTGCACTATACAGCTCTACCCATCGATTATTCTCAAGAAAACTTTATGGAATATTACGCTTGACTTCTCTTGCAGCTAAATTCGCTCTCGAACTCGTACCCACATAAAAAGGTGACACGATTTTTGGCAATGTAAAAAGGCGTATACGGTGCCATGAAAATTTTTGAGGACTTTTCTATGCCGTTCCATTTTTCAATCAATCTGCAGCCATTCTGGAGTTTTTTTTTACGTTCATTCACTGATAAAATATTTGAATTCTAGGATTTGCCTGTGCTCGAGGGTTTGCAGAAATTTAACAAATTTTTGGTGAACACCTTATTTTGCCAATTGCTCACAGTATACCCTATGAGGATTGAAAATGTCTCAAGCATTTGCCCTCGCAGAAAAAAAGGAAAATTTTTGTGTGCCCATTTTTTGAAAAAAAATGTAATACCGAGTTTTTTTCTCAACTTATAGTGTTACTAATAGTCTTGAACTAAAGCATATTTGGCCTTTATTTCTCTTGAACCTGAGCGCCATTTTTTATCTCTTCCAATTTCCTTCATGTAAATGACCTTTCCTTTTACTGCACTATCAAAACTTTTTCTGCCTCTCCACTTATTTTTCGCAATCGTATGAGCTATAACTACTTCGTAAAGTAAATGCCTTCCACCACACTCGGAGTCCTTGAAATTGGCAGCCGTCAATCTGTGTACCGAAAACAAAAACAAATTAGATGTTGGTAGGTAAACAAAATAAAAAGCGCAGAAGCTTTTCGTAGAGTACCCGCACGAGTGGTTTCCTTCTCTGAATTTCTATTTCCTAGATCCAAAAATATACGGTTATGTATGTGCATATGTACAGCTTTGAACATTCTGAACTTTTGAGATGAGCTGCTTTAACCGTGTATTATAAGATGGGTTGAAACAAAGAACTGGCAAAAATGGACAGAGAGAGAAAAGGGGAGAAAGTTAAAGAAAAAAGAAACTGAAGCAAAATGCCATTGTTGCCCTCTTACCTTTGTGACGCATTACTCGAAGTTTTATTCATTTTTGATACAAGCATTCTGTAGTCCAACAAGCTTTGAAAACGCATTCACGACGTACTGACCCTACATGGCCTGCGCTGTGCTTTCACCTCTCTATGCCTAACTACAAAAATCTTGAATATTCTCATTGTTTTTTATTGGTAGTCAACGTATTTTTCAAATTTTCAAAGTGCAAATTAGCTTTGTAAAAAATTTTTGGGGACGGGGCTGCCGAAAAAATTGTGCTGATTATTATAGCCTGAGGGCAGTAAGCCCGAAAAAGTTTAAAAAGCATCTTGAAAGAAACCAAGCCTTTCCATTTGATTGCTTCGCCCCCCCCCCAACCCATCTCAACCTTTCTCTGAATCTCGGACCCCCACCAGGGCTCGGCACGGGTGGCTTGTAAGCAAGCTGGATATCGTTTTTGAAACAAAAAGCAAAGGGGGTATCGTTTTTGAGAGGCTGAAAAGACACAAAAACGTGAAGTTTTTTTAGTCGACGTTCCGTTTTTTGAGGTTTTTTTGTGTTTGGGGTTTAGAGTCAAAAGGGACTTCGTTTTTTGCATTTTCCGAAAGCCACTTCGTGCCGAGCCCTATCCACCACTGCCTGGTGGACATTTCAAAGCTTTTTTTCAGTTATTGGAAAGTATGTAATCTGACCTTTTACCGGAATAGTACCAAGAAACTTTACCGCACACCATAGAACAAAACGAATGTAATATGGGGAGACACTATCAAAGTCTTATAGGCGATGGACACTTTTTGAACTTTTTTTTCGAAAAATGTCCCGAAAATTATACCCACCAACGATGGAGTTGACGAGCCCAATATTCCAAGATGGTTGGAAAGAAAAATTCGACATCTGTATACGCAATTCGATGACCTTTCTTCCATTAATTCAAAAAAAGTTCAGACAGAGATTTTTCGTAATAGGAACGAGAGTGACTAATTGCTAGTCTCATTTGTAAGTCTATTCTCGTACACATACG